CATTCAATGCACACGTTACGTGAATGATTAATGAGCAGTTTATGTTAATTCCGTGTACCTTAATTAATTCCTCCAAAAACGGACCTACCTGAGAGAAGAGGTCCTGTTCGAATCAGATAATTACTCCATGCATGACTCAGTTCTACCAGCTATGTAAGCATTATCATTTACTGTTCCTCGCGTTGTCTTTCATTCGCAAACATCCGTACAACTAAGTCCTGAACATCATCTTGGGATGCTCAAAATGCAAATATTATGTGTAACTCATTTCCGTACATCGCGAACCGGCTTGTAAATGTTCTCTGAATTTATATTTCAATGATTGAATTCCAAGATGCAATGAGCAGATAAAATGTCCAGATAAATGTAAAATCGATATTGCAATCCCACAGACTGCCAGCAGGTGAATCACCCACAACCACCGCATTGCAAATACCTTTTATGACTAACATTTCCTAATAATAATAATAACAACAACAATATTTATTATCTTACAAAGTACATAAACACGAACAATGTCAACGATAATCGAAGTTCATTCAATCTTAAACCTCTCTAACCAAATGATTCTATTAGTTATCAATTATTCAAATAAATTATTGTTCAATAATTAAAAATAACTAAAAATTTGCTTCATATTTAAAGGTATTCTTTCTTTTATTATAAGAAACGCACTATTATTCAATATTGCCTTTTTCATACAACAAAACTTTAAATTATTGGAAAAAAAATGAATAGAAAAAGATTATATGTACATTTTTATAATAGTTAAATTCTGCAAAGTCTCAATAATCTTAAATCATAATTTAACTATTAATAATTTTATTAGCTTCTACCATAAATAATCTGGAAATTGTCGCCCACTGGATTAGCGGTAGTCACGTCCAGTAACCGTCATTGAATTCCCCTCATAACATAACACATGAAACATAAAAGTCGTGTTTCGATCACGTCCCGTCGTCTTTCCCACATCTTTGTTATGTATTTAGAAAAAAAAAAGGGCACAGTCAGCATTCATTTAATAGGTCTAGTATTTTTCAACACAAGTTAAACGTTGTTATCGCGTTGACTTCCTGCAGTTTATGTTTGAGATGAAAACACCGAATCGGAAATTCGTACGGTATAACGGTTTTTACATTACGGAATAGCATATGCATTAAGAGTTTTAATGAATCGTCGTTATTATTATTTTTTGTGGTTGCGTTTTTACTCGTCTTAAATCCATTAGATTTTATTTCAACATTAAGTTTTTTTTTCTTACACATTCATTTGTATATGTATACACTTTGATGTGAGTATTAAATTATAAAAATACTTTGAAAATGATCCCAAGTTTATAATAGTAATACAATATTTATGGCAAACAATTATAAATTCAAATAGTTGCCAACTCGACTAGCAATTATTTATTTACTATGCTCCCACTTCAAATATATGAGTTACATTTTTATATATTATAATTATTTATATAAATTATTATTAGAGTGTAAGTGTAATTGTAAGTCTATATGTAATGGATTTAAACATAAGATATTTATAGTATAGTGGTAATAAATTTTATTAAAAATGGAATTATTTGCAACTATTGAGAGTTTTTCTATTTATTGATGTCTATTTTTAAATTGTTCCCGGATGAAACATATTTAAATTCAGGTCAACCAGTTAATTGTGTCAGTAATATTCTATGGGCATAATCAATGTAAATTCCATAAAACCAGTTTCTCGTAGACGGCAATTATGTTTGAAGCGAGAAAGATAGGTAATGAAACACTGAGAAAGAGCGGTAATGTTTGAAAAAGATATCATAATATATGTTCTTCTGATTTGTTTCTTCATTTTTTCGCTGTTATGAGAATAGGTTGTGTTTTTGCTGAGGTGTTGACATGATTGGCACATGATCCTGATACAATCTGTCGTATTTGGACGAGGAGGGTTTGTTTCAGTTATGCAGTGCGTGGAATTGCGATCACTCGGCCTGCCGTCCCCATTGTCTGCTGTCCCGTTGCATATAACAGCCTTCTTCTAAATGTCTTAGTCGTGACTTTTAGCGACTGAAATGTTCTCCAGCCCATTACCATTCGGCATGTTTGTATTATAAATAATGCATGCGGCTCTGGTAAATGGGTTATCGCCTTAGACATATCGATGTTGTAGTAGTGTATTTGGAAATGAAAGAACAGAAGAAAAAAAATGAGAATAGAAAAGAATGACCAAAATGGAAGGATAAAACCTGCCTCCCCGGTGGCTGCGGCGGAAACTCAGATATACGAATTCCAATTGGAATGCGCGAAACTAACGAGGGAACAGCAAATTCGGTGTAGGCAGGTGCGATTTAATTATGCCGTGCAATTACATTATCACGCGAATTAACTAAATAATTATCATTTCGCGAGCGCGTTGCGCAACTTGCGGACTTGCGTAACAACGTTCGCGTCCAGTCTGCAAGCCGGAGAGAATAATGTAATTCTGAAACAAGCAAATCGAAGAATTTTAATTGCTTCAGTTTCTGAGAAGGACTGCGTCTCTGCCCGCATCTGTACGTGTGATGTATTTTATGGTGCGACGTTTGATGATCCTGTTTAATATCTGCGGAGAAATTTGTTTAATATTTCTAATTAATTAAATAAGAAGAAAAAAAAAAGAAAGTCCATTGTCGACTTGTTTTACTTCAGGCAATTGAGCTACAGCCGAGACAAGACGAAGGTCTTAATTGGAAGTAGAAGAGAGAAGGTTTCCATCAAGAAGTACACCTATTGATATTTGTTATTATTCGAGGATGAGGAGATATGAAAGAAACTGAGCGTATTTAAATAAAGGGTGGTTGTTATAAATAATAAGCGCCTTTTATGGATCGGTGCGAAGGCACTGGACTTGGATATGTCCATTGTGAATTTTAGGCCATTCGTATATTTTTGCTCGGCGTTTTGCGTCGTTTCGTGGTGCGTTTTTTGGGCCGAGAGAGCAAATCGAGAGAGTTATGCGAGTTAGACTAAATATGGAGTGAAACTCCTTTAATTGACATCACATATATACGCCCACGTATCTCGCAAGCCTTCCCCCCTAGGGGGAAACCAAATGCCGATCTATTTCTCCGCTTGGTGTCGAAACGGACACGGCTATTTTATATTTGGCAACATAAACAATAATTTATAACGTTACTAAATGCAATTTATCGTCGGGTTTCTTTCCGCACTTCTCATTCAAATCGCTCGAATCGCCTGATCCTAATCACTGTTTATTTCATAAAATTTCGTCATCGCCACCATTACAAATAGCACTCAAAGAATCTGTATACATACACATACGGAATATACATAACTTAACTTTAATAGTAACTCATAACTCCAACTACAACATTAGAAATATTTACTCAATTTAAGTTACAAAAATATGTAAACAGGATAACTAACTTGAGGAATTATTAACTTAATTAATATTTACTCATTGTTTACATTACAAAATACTATTCAGTATATTTCCTGAAGAAGTTAGTAATAAAAATAAATAATGTTGACTAAAATACTATAATTAGAAAAGTTTTTACCTACCAAATGGAACTGTTCATATCATATTACTACTGGTTAAAGTGTCATAAACATTTGTGTATCAATTACACATGGATACCATAAAGCAAATTTGCACAATAATTGCTTAGTAATTTGTTAAATACTTGGAAACTTGTTAAAGTACATGAAGCGCTTGTAGGATGAGGTAAATTATTTTTCATGTACTTGTTTCGATTAGCTTGCGTAATTATATGTTATTTTAGAGTCGTGCGTATATAAACATTTAAAATGTTTCTTTCATTTTCATACTATTTATTACCTAATATTAGTACTTATATAATTGGAATCTTGGAATAGACATGAACCAGTAAAATCGACATGATTTTCAATTGCAAGAAAAACCTCTTAAGAAATGAAAATTCTGTTGAAAGAATAATGAAATGCTTTAGACTCAATTTCTAATTGAAATTTAATTTGAATCAGCTGCGTGAGTCGGTTGACAATTTTTATTATTATTATTTACAATTCTTTAAGTTTACCTTTTTCCGTTGTTCATAGTTGTTGAGTATTTAGCGCAAATATTTCTCCGGCATGAATTGTGATTTTATAAAATAACAGTAAATATAATTTAATGGAATCCTTGTACGTATGCATGTGTGTGTGTTCGGTTATTTTTATTATTATAGAGTGTAAATTATAGTGCTGAGCTATGAACGGAGTAGAGTATATAGAAGGAGGATAAATAATACAAAAAAAAAAGAAATAATAAATAATCCGAGCATGCACATTACATGAGATCATTGGGCATCGGTCTGCGCGACTTCTCGGTGGTCGCAGCATTGTTGTGATTCGCTTGTAAAGGCTTTTTAATAACGAGAACGTGGATTTTTTGGGGTACACGTAACTAAAACCTACAAATATTCTCACGTTGTCGTAATTGAAAGCACGACTCGACCATGTCTATTCTCACAAGAAACGTTATTTTTTCTTTCCATACCTCGTCTCCGTCTCCGCCTTCGCCGCAGCGAACACATTCATATTCCTTCAGTTATTAAGTCTTAAGACAATAGACTCGGCGAGAAAGCATTTTCGGTTCTCCCATTATTAAATTAACAATTAAAACCAATTAGGAAGTTAAATTTTAATGAACATCAATTTGTAAAGAAACTTGTCGACCGACTGGAAAACGGGAGGTGGAAGAAAAAAAAAATGCCTTAGAATTTATTTGTCGTGCGAAATAGTAACAGGACATGTTAACACGTGTACTATGGAAATAGGGTCGCAATTAACGGCCTTAAGTGGACTTGTTAAATCTTACTTTATTGCTGGGTAGACGCGTGATTGATACATGCGTTCTAAATAAATCCCACTTCAATTACGTAAAACCGAATGGGATAAACGATTGAATTCTGGTTTGGAAATTTTCGCAGTCCCATTATAATGAATGATTCCATTTTAAGCATTTACTTATTGCAACGTGTCTTCTTGTTTCAGAACTTGCTGGGTGCCAGAGAAGATGAAAAAAGTTTCCTGTCGGCACGACAACTGAAATCATCTCCCTTTGTTCTTCTGTGATAATGGATATAACTGAAGCATTCCGTACTGAAGATCTCTCGAAAGCGGACTTCTTCGATTTTGTTGTAACTCCAGACAATAACGACAATCAATTCCAAAAGCAAATGCGTACTGTAAACGCATTCCTCGGGAACGGAACAGAAGAGAAAGAAACTAACAACAACATGCCCACTGCCGAGTTATCAGTGCCAACGACAACGTCGGAAAACGTATCGAACTTCGATTTCTGGGGTGATAAAGAGACAGTGAGAATAGAGACAGCTATTCTTGAAGATCTAAACAAGTATTGCTGGAATTCAGAAGAAGATGTCGCAAACGGTGTTGTGGAGAATAACAAACTCACTAACAATAATAATAACAACAACACCACCGATGGTCACATCTATACGTTAACCGTATTGAACGGTATTGACCAAGGGACTTGGTATAGACAACCACTAACGACAATAATCAAGGAAGAAGATGGTTCAGTTTCGAGTCCGAACTCGATGGAACATTTACAAAGTGGTTTGGATATTGATTCGATCCTTAACATTATGCCGGGTCAATTGAACGGCTTCAATAACAACTATACAGAAGGCAGTCTAAATCAAAACACGGATGGCTTAATAAAATCCGAAACATACACATACGAAGACAGCGGATTCGCAGATAACAAAGATGAGCTTGCCAGTTCTCTGATAATTGATACACCTCTTCTGGAAGCGCACGACGGATTCAATAACAACAACAACGATTGGAAGCTGAATAACAACAATACAAACAACGGTACTCCAGACTCGTTGCTTCGAAGCGCATTGCAAGGGAAGGCCTTCGTTCGGTATAATGGTGTTAAAAAAGAGAACAATACCGAATTGCGGCGAGTGCTTTCTACGCCACCAACGAAAACAGAAACTATTTTTGTTAAACAAGAGCCTATAGAGCAAGAAAAGATACCGACCATTGTCGCCGGTATTGACGCCAATGGTACTGTGATCTTCGAAGAGCAAATTCAACAGCCGCAAAGGCAATCAACTGACAATCCTCCGGATAATCCCTCCAGCACTCACAGTATGGATGACATCATACTCTCGCAACTCGACAACACTTATCCTGAAGACTTTGAAAAACTTAAGCGCATCGCAAACGAGGTGGCTGAAAGTGTGAACCAATTTTGTCAGATCGACACGTCGGTGGAAACCGTTTATACTATATCTCCGGACCAGATTGGTTTACTGAACAACCTCAACTCTCCGATATCGATCACCACGCCTGTTGTGACAAGCACGAAACCCGCCACCAAAAAATACAAGAGATCAAACAGCGGCTCCAAGCAGACCACCGTACAGAACGCCACGTCGACGTCGAACGGTGTGCGGAAAGAACGGAGCTTACACTACTGCAGCATCTGTTCGAAAGGTTTCAAAGACAAATACTCCGTCAACGTACACATCAGGACGCACACCGGTGAAAAGCCATTCTCGTGCAGCCTTTGCGGCAAAAGTTTCAGACAGAAGGCCCATCTGGCCAAACACTACCAAACTCACATCGCGCAGAAAAACGCCGCGGCCGCTGGTAATGTGGCAGCAGCCAAAGCCAAAACGAGGTAGCCTCGCACATGATAGGAAAGGAATTTTTATATAAAAAAAAACAACAACAACAACATAAACCCAATACGCATTAGTTTCCATTTGCAAACCAACGATCACACCCTAAAACCAAGCTGAATTTGTATTTGAAGTTATTATTATACCCCTTTTTTTACAATCGGGATTGACAGAGAAGGAGGCATTCCTTTACTTCTCTCTCCTCACGTTTCCCATCAACACCGAGACATAGCAATTGTATTCCGAATATAGTTATGAGTTGCAAGAAAAGAAAATATTTTTATAGCATTGTTTGAATCCTTTTATTTCTATTTGGGACATCACCTTAAGTGGTTCACGCAGCAGCAACAAGTGTTATTACACAAAATTTATGAATAGCGAAATCAAATGGCATAGCAAAAAATATATCAATGGAATAAAAAAAAATCAAGGTTCATCTTATGAAAAAACAACAAAATATTAATTAAATAATCGCTTATATGTGGGTGAAAACTTAAAATATTATGAACGGTGAGGCTAATTAATGAAAGTGCAAATGTGGCTAGAAGCTTAAATATCAATGAGGCTCAATTTGAAACAAAAACTGTACAAGTGTTTGCTATGAATAGAATAACTATTTCAATGATTAGTATTAACAATAATCAGCAATTATTACAAAGAAATGTTAGTAGGGTGTGTCGTTACCGAGGTCGTTACATACACACACACACATACACACGCGCGCACACTAAGAGAATAGAAGAGAGAGAAAAATATACACAGAATATGTTTTAAACTATTTTTATTACGGATCAAATGTATAATAATCGAATCGATCACGAGTTGTAAATGGAAACAATGTATAAACGTTTGTTGCCAATACACTTAAAAGTATGTTTATTGTTGAACGTAAAAATACAGCCCATTGAAGCAATTCACATCCAACACGTTGTCGAGATCAAAGGAAATAATTCAAATATAATAGAAGTAGTTTTGTTCCTAAACCTACATAATTTGTGTGTAATTTCGTGCTGTGATTGAATTTTTGGAGAAAAAAAAATGAGTTATCAAAATAAGGGGGGAAAAATCTTGTCTAAGAATGAAAATCATTGAAAATTCTTGCCATTTCTGTATTAATTTGCGAGTGTTTGTATTGTTTATATTATTATATACATTATATACTATATATATATATGCGTGTATGTATTAATATATGAAGATTTATATTTATTATTGTATTTTAAAGCCGTCCTAAAAGTAGCGCGGCAAAACATTGAATTGTCCAATACGCGCTATATTATAATATTTAAGTTCTTTTGTTTAATTAGAGAAATATGCTTCTTAGTTTTTATCTAATGCTTGTATAGTTCGTAGTTTAACTACAGTTTACCATAATATAAGGCATTAAATGACCTTTTTTACCTACAAATACTCACTTGTACTTAATTTGTTATTTTGTATTATTTTTTTTTTATTGAATGATATATAGTTTAATTTATTTTTATTAGATAAAAGAATGCAATGTGAGTACAAACAAAGCGACCTTTTGGTTGCAAATTAATTACCACCACTCAAATTGTTGTTAATTATTATTATTAAATGTTTATTAATGTTGGATCTGTTGTTATTATATCTTATAATAGTGTGTTTTTTTTTTGTAATAACTTTCCGTTTCTAGTTGCAAAGTGTACTTATTTACGACTCAACCTTAATACAGCAGTATTGTATTTGTTTTATATGTTTTAGAAACAATTGTGTGCATGGTCTATTTTGTTTATTTTATTATTTTGTTTTATTTTTTTTGTTTATTTTGCCCCCAGCTAAGTTACTTGCCATGGTAGAGGGTTATTATCCGTAATAATGATTATTTTGTGTTTTATTATTTTGTATATTGGATCTCAACGTTCGACGATTTGCGGCTTTCTGCTTGAAAGAAATCAAAATTTTTGATTCGGTTGTGTACGTTTCTTTATTTATTGGACTAAAAACGGTACTCGTGGATGAAAACAAACTGCCAACTTTTTCGTGTTCTTTGAAAAGTTTGATCAAAAAGAAAAACAACAAAAAATACTCAATCTAATGCTCTCAATTTATATATATCTATATATATTGTATACTATTTTTATTTTGTTGCAACGAAGCCATAGGTACTTTTTCTACTTTATTACACGTTTTGTATAGTTTAATCAGATTTTATGTTCTTTTATTATTATTATATCATTGATTTTATTAAAGTATTTTTATACCTAGATACATATATTTACATTTTATAATTTTATATTATATAATTGTGAAACTTTATTACAAATAAAAGATATTTTTTATTTTCTCATTTTTTCAACAAATATACTTCATCTTCCTTCCATAAAATTCCTCAACTTCAATTTAGCAAACATGTTTTGGAAAACAATAAACCATCTCTTTTTACCCAAATAACTTTATTCTAGTAAAGTAATCCTAATCAGATATTTTCAAAAATGATATTATTGTAAATTTATACAACTAAATCCACAATATTAATTGTTTCTCCAAAGCAATACCAACAAATAATGTAATGAAAATGTTATGATATTCCCGGAAATCTCCGATTTTCTTTATATTTACCTCAATTACCTCGTTTTGTATTGTCATTGTCCTAGATTTTAAACATTATTATCCTAGTTTTCCGTTTTAAAACATTAATGATATGAAATTGAAATAATGAAACATAACATATTATAAAAAAAGAATATATTTTAAAGTAAAAACTATATTTATATAACATTTATAGAGTTGTTCTTTTGATTGGTTTGGGAGAGACACTAACTTTAACAGGTTTACACAAGTCAATGAGGTATGGATTTAATTCCGATGATTTCCTTTTACCAATATCCCCTTCTGGTACGGCTAAAGCAATACTGATTTCAACATTGCATGCCTCTGACCAAACCTGATGCGATATCAATACAGTGGTTAACAGCCGCAAGTCCTGTCCAAATTTGGCATCTAAAACACGTAGAAATTGTGTATTACGAACATATCGTTCATCAAGCAATTGTTACCATTTGCATTTCCATCGTAGTTGAGTGGTTTAATGTGTGCTGGTCTTGGTAGAGTAACTTGAGTCCTCTGATCCGGATATTTTACCTTTATACGTAACCTACTGGGTTCAGACAAACGCAATAGTTCAGCTTCAAACGGCACTGCCATAATCAATCCTGCTGTAAACTTCAACGTACTATCAGATTGACCAGACGGCTCCAATATTTGAACGCTGCTCATTTGTATCTAAAAATTACATTAATATAATATAACATATTACATCATTTTTCATAATCAATACCAGTGTATTAGGCTGCGGGATTTTCCCTAACTTGGCTTCAATCAAAATCGGTGTCAAAATTCTGGCCACTATACCAGGTTTTGGTTCCTCGACCATAGCCAATTCTCTAAATAATGATTCTGTAAAAGCATCTGGTTCCAAATTTTCATTAGTCAATTCACGTTGCATATCTTCAACAGCTGATAAGAAATGGTGGCATGGTGCCAACGCGGATGCATTGCTTCCTAAAATTTCATTATTTGTACTTCTATATATAAAACGTATAGTTTTAATTTACCTTTCACAATGTATACCAAATTTAAACCCAAAGTTCTCAATCTCATTTGTTTAACAGCGCAATATTCCAAAGGGCTCATCCCCACAAACAAGTATTGCAATTTCAGACAGTGCAATAACAATTGTTCAATATTATTCTTTAAATTGGTAGATTCCTGCGCTGCTAGATTTGCCAAGTTCGAAAAAAATCCTTTTTCCAAAATCTGGGACATCAACAATTGTGCCCCGATATACAGGGACGTAAATTTTGCTGTGCCGGCAACAACCGAATCCATTTCGCTAAGACGCAATAAATGCTCCTTGGAAACTTCCAACAAATTTGTTTGCATCCTGTAATAGCAAATCTTTTAGTGAAAATGATTTAAAATTGAACATTTTAGATCTTACCGAACTGTGTTGTTTTCAATATTTAAATTATCGATTACGTTCTTTAAAAACTCCAAACTTTCAGGAACCGAGCTAGGTGTAACAATGGCATTGTTATTTTCATTGGGTAGACAAAGTTTTGGAACTAAAGTCGGCATCGTGTCTCTTAAATATGAATAATGGCGAAGTGTCTGGGGTTCAAACAATGGTGGAATTGTTGTATTAAACTTAGCAGCGTTCAACACAAGGATTAAAATACAAATATCTAATCTACGAGTTAAGGTTAATATGGATAATAATAGTTAAATTTTGCGTACAAATAAATACAAATATAAAGGATACATTGTGGATTATCAACGTCGCTCTCGGCCATATCAAAGAATGGATGAATAGATAAAAATTGAGGTACTAGCGGTAATACCAATTCTGGATGCTGAGCACCAATTCTTTGTAAACATTTATACGTAGATCTACGATCTTGTGGATATTTTTTCAAATTGTCTAAGAGCTTCTCAACGCACATCCTGAGACCCGCTGTCGTTGACATCGTACAAGAAGCCAACATCCTGTGCAATCCCTCTCTTATTTCTTGAGAAAAATCTTCAATTGCGCCCAAAATTGTTTCCAATTGATCGTCCCTTAAAGTGATGTGTTCGGAAATGCAACGCAAACTATCGATGGCCTTCAATCTGACATCTTCAATTTCATCGTTGAACATATCGACTAAGAAGTCTAGAGATAAGTTCGCAAACTGTTGATTGTTTAATGATAGCTGACACAGAGATTCTACGGATGCCGATCTAACTTCCAAATATTCATCTTCTAAGCCGTGGACAAATGCGCCACAGGATCCGCTGCTCATCAAATTAATCCTGTCTTTATCAATCACCTCTCTTGGAGCATCGTCAGCCCATTTCTTGCCACTTGCCCATTCACCACTTGTAACATTTTCCCACTGCAGTTCATGCGCAGTTCTCTATAACAAGATTAAGTTTGAAATGCATTACCTATATGTACTTATATATGTAATTACCTTTCTTCTCATATTTGACATCAACTTCTTATCTAAAGTTTGATTTAGAAACCTCATGCTGACTAATTTCATGGATCCCAGAAGTTTAGCTGCATGTGTCCTCACATGCATTGATAAATCATTAACGCTATTGCAAATTTTAGCAAAGGCGTCATCAATCAATCTAATTTCTTGTTCACTATCTGGCAAAACTACAATACTACAAAACAAATATTATAATCAATTACAAATAATGTAACAATATCCAACTTACTTTTCAGGGAAAGTAGTTCCTAAAACCCATAGCAATTTGAGGACCACTTTTCTAACAATCTCATAGTCATCTTTTAAGCCATCACAGACGCTTTTATAAATAGTAGGATTTAATTTCAAACCTTTTTCATGGAAATGAATCATAGTGGAAAAGGCTTGTGCCCTCACTCTAGCATCACCATTATCAAAATATGATACCACTAAATTGGACATACCTTCTAAGTCTTTCTCTTTACACAATGGTACAAGAAATCCCAACATCTCTAGGCTTCTACATTTCACTGAATGACTCACATCCTTCAAATAATTCTTCGCAATTTCAATTAACTTTCCCAATATTATTTGGTTATCTTTCATATGATTACTAAGTGTCAGCAATGTTTTTAGTGCCTGAGCAATAACTTTGTGAGATGTTTCTTTCTCAATCAAATTAATGATGTCATCAATAACTAAAATAACATCAGCTCCTTCCAAGTTACCCAACTCTGCAATCAGAGCCAATATCTTCACCTTCACAGCACTCTCATTCTCAATTCTAAAATATTTGCAGAGCCTTCTTATGGCTTCTGGGATGTCCGAAGGATCAAATTCAACACAATCTGAGATTCGAAGTAGGGTGTGTAGAGCTTCTTTGCTGCTTTTGCAAGTATCAAGGCAACTCAAAATTACCAAACCTGCACTATCAGTTGTAGGCTTTTTTACTAAGCACAGCTTTTTTACAGGCTGCTGCTGAGCATAATCCTAAAAAATTTCAATATTTAGTCAATAAAATGTATAGGTTATACACAATATTTTGTTACCTGTTTATTTAATGTTTGTGTTTGGGAATATTCAGCTAACGCACGTTTCTTTAGAACAGCTGCCATTTCTAATAACTTTATAATATTGTTGTTATTCCACTGTTTTAACTAATCATCACTTTAACACAGTTTTAGGTTATCACAACAAAGTAAAACATAACTTTAGGCTAAAAACCGAATGGAAACCGAGTATTAACGATTTGATATAAACTAAAGTAGGCAACTAATTGTACTTCCATGGCAAGTACATTTAGTTACCTAAGTATTAAATAATATAAACCAGTAGTCACCAAACCTCTAAGATCGTCGACTCTTTCAAGAGTTTCTTCACTTTGACCCCTTTAATTTACTATTACATAATTATATTAGAACAAATAGAAAAGATAAGACTAATATAGCTTTAAAGCCTAAAATAATAGTCAGAAAAGTGAAAATTCTAATATTTTAATATAAAGTTCGTTATGAGACAAACCAATCTTTTGACTTGGAGTGCCGCTGAAAAATTCTTATATAATAAGGGTACCGCAAACCAAAAAGTTTAGGGACCGCTACCATAGAGTATAGACAAAACAATTGGAAGGATGATGAAAGGAAATAAATAAAATATTTATTATCTTGAGAATAAAATGTATTTGCATTTGTTAAAATATATATGTATATAATGATTAGGTTTTGTTTCATTACAAATTAGTCTTTATTAAAACTTATTTGATTAATCCATATTATTTTTTTTTTATTGAAATTAGTAACACGAATATTTGTACATTGCATACTATTTACAAAATTTGTTGTTTTCTTCTTCATTATATAACTGTCAAAAAAGAAATAATTATTTCATGTTGTTTGGCACATTAATTTCAATTTCACAGAAAAACACTTTACTATAAAAATATTTATGTTAGTAAATCTTATTCCTAAAATATACTTTTAAAATAAATGTTTGAACGTATGTTTCATAAAAAAAAAACTTTTCACGAAATAATTATTGGATGCATTACGTATATTATTATATTTCGAATATAATAAACTGTGAAAAGTCATGAAAATAACGTCCATTTGTAATTAATATTATTATTATTTATCTGGCAAGACGAGAACTTACAACAACTACTTTGAATATTGAAGGTAAAATGTCTACGGAAATGCTAACCATTTTTAAAAGTTTTATTTTTTTTTGTTGGGAGTATATTATTATATATTTAGTAGTAAATCACGATTTCAGACTTTAAAAGTACAAAGATTATTCATTCTTACGCAGTAGTTAAATATAGTTTTTTTTTTCTTACGATGCATCTCTTAATATTTCAAAGATATTAAAAATATTTTTATTATATACAACATACTTTTAACCAGTCTGAGCAAAAAAGGGGAAATATCTATCTATTGAGCAATAAACTATACTTTCTATACGTCTTTCTTTTCTTTGGTAAACGTGTTTTCTTTTTGGCAACTTTTAATCACAAATTGTAGCCCGACAAATGCGACGGTCAATTTTTTTTTTACGAAACTTAAGAGCCGCTCCGCGAACTAAATTATGACATTATTGCGATATGTCTTCTATCAAAGTAAATACATTATAAAATGGAAAACATTACGTTGTATTCATCATCACTGTACTCCGTCTGCTGTAGCCGCGTCTGGAGACCGCAGATCCCTGCGCTTCGCATTCTTTCCGAACTCGAGCTATGATTGCAGCCACCAATTTCTCCTCCTTCACTCTTTGCTCCTCCCAATCCGTCGTTTTCGAATCTCTCTTCTTCGGGATCTTCGGTAATTCGACGCTTTCGATGATTTCTTCTTTAATGCTTATATTAATTTCTTCCTGAGGCGGTTCCACTTCTGTGTGTCTTGAGGCGATGTGTCCCAGGTAACCCTTTCGACTCTTGAAGAAGACATTACAATATTTGCATTTGAACAGTGGGGCCGGATTAACTAGATTATTCACATGAAATTTGTACTTGTGTCTGTACCAATGCGTACGACTAGCTAGCAGTTCTCCACATAATTTACAGACAACACTTCCGTCATCTCTCATGATGTATTCCAGAAGTTCGTTCTTTTTCCTTTCGTAAGTTTCAGAAACTACGTTCTCATCATCCGTGAGGAAATGTATTCCAGTTAGAGATTCAGATTCGTGATCCATTTTATCGAATTCATCTTCTTGCTCTTGCGAGTCCATTAGCATATTTCTGGCCGCTTCTGTTGATATAATTACTGATTCCTGTTGATACTTTATTGGCACTATGTCTAAAGTTACATTGTCAGGTAATTCTGGAAGATTTGAGTGGTTTTGGTTATTCTCTAAGAAGTCTATATTATCATCTGCAAATAATAAAACAAATTAGTTCCTTCTTATTCTACCATACCAACAACTTTCAGGTAAAAGGTAATTTCAGAAAATACAACTTAATTTCAATATGTTTGCACATCAAGTTCTTACCACGAACAAGACCCAACTAAAAAAAACAAACGTTGAGACAGCCTTCACGTTAGGGATTATCAATAACATGAAATACATATGAATAATTTATTAGAGGTAGATTTATTAATAAATAAAAAGTACATAAACATAAACAATTTTATTCTTATAAAGAAATAAACTTTATGAATAAAAAGAAAAAAAAATCTATATATATATTTATATTTTATAATATACAAATCTGCACCAATGCGAACACTATATGCAATAGTCAGAATGTAACAAGTAACATAAGATAACCAGTAGTATTATTTTTTTTGTAAATTTTCGATTACATAATATGCGAAATAATAGTATAAAAAAAAATTAAAGCATTTTGGATAGTACAAATGAAAAAAAAATAATATATAAGATAACTAATTAAGGTATTTTGAGGCTATGCGTATTCTCTTTATATCCATTATCTTTTTGCACGGTATTAACATTGCTTCGTGCAAAGAAGATAATGCATAAAATAATTTATTAAAAATAATAATAATAATAGAAATCCTTAATTAATTTCTCCTTTCGATATTAAAATTTTTACTTTATGTTATTGTCAACAGTTGATAAATATTTATTTATATATATACGCATCATTTGTAATTCCATAACAAACATAGTGCACAGCAAGAACATCTCATCCTTCTGCTATTCGATACTAAATAAAAATCTATTTAACAGTGTTAGTACTATTTATAAGTTCCTAAAGTATTAATTGCACTTAATTTATAAAAAAAAATTACTATAATATATTTGTTTATATTAAATATACACTTTCTCCATCCTAATTTGATTCAAGTCGATCTTTTTGTCTTGAAATACCGGCCAGGATAAGAAAAAAAATACAAACAAACACGGAAAAGACATGGAAGAACTGCGATCAGAACTGGCCAAGGCCTAAAGTTACATAATGACAAAATAATAATAAAAAATAAAATAAAAATAAAATCCTATCACATAGTGATCTTTTTTTTTTTGCGTGCGAATTAAAGAAAAACTTCTCTTTTTTTTGAAACATGAGAAAAATCTATTTATTATATAGAACGAAAATTAACAACAAAACAAAAATCACATTCGCATCTTCTTTCACTCACACTGACACATCTTATATATGCAATGACCAACATATTTCTTGATATCACAAAAACAAAAATATTATCTATAATAGAGTTATAATATAGTATGTATGATAAGAAAAAAAAACACATAACTGCGATTGATATGTGAATATCGATTTAAATAAAACTTCGTAAGCGAAATATTACTTATTTAATGATGTAAAGATCCTCGATACCAATTGCGTTACTGCAAATTTATAATCTTGTTCTACAAATTTATAAGATTTATATCGTTTTTAGTTTAACTACAGCAACGAATCGGTGTAAGGGATTTCTTTAAAGTTGTGTTTTTAACTTCGACTATGATTTTCTTTAATCTGTACATCAGTTTTTGACTAGCTGAAGTTGAAGTGACCAACGTTGCAGGATGTTTGACATAAAATGAATTAACTAATCAATATTGCAATTAAGTTCCAAAATAGTCTGATTTGCCTTTCAGGCAAAACATTGTTATATGTAATATATAGAATCTATGTTGGATCTAATCCTTCAAATATATAATATAAATAAAATAACATACAAAATAACTATAATAAAAAAAAAACATAAATTAAATTTTGATTCATACTCGAAAAAAAGAAAAAAAATTCTCCCAACACCGAAAGATCGTCTAAAAAAATATTATGTAAGGATAATATTCAATTATTATACAAAAAAAAAATGTGCGCGCTTGGACCGGCTAATTTAAAATATATATATATTTTTTTTTGTATAATATTATTATATTAGTAAATATAAAATCTATTATTGTCTAAACTGTGCAGTTTCTCTTTGAATTCAATATATTATTTCTATACTTATTGAAAAAAAAAGTAATAATATTTTTTTTTTTTTTAAATACGATAACGTTCGATCTACCAAATATTTACCCTTATACATTAGTTCTTGTTTCGAATTTTCATTTCCTTCAGTGCGATTATATATGTATGTATATATATAAAAAAAACTATAATCTAAATATATTTGCATGTACCCCTAATTAGAAAAAAAATCCAAACCATGTTAAACTTTAGAAAAAAACAAAACTATTTTATATATATTTATCATCATAAAAATAACTAGTACGAAATAGTTCCTAGGGTAAATATAAGCTGCTTAGCAGCGCTAAGTATTCTAAATATATATATATATTGTTTTATATAAACCTTCAAAAGGTGTCATCTCTTTTTACTATCCATGAATTGCAATTTGAATATATAACATTAATATAAAAAATTCGGTTAATCACATGTTATTTGTTAACTAGTACTTAATAATATTTTGATTGTACTCGATTTTCTATATTTACACATCGGAAGCTTTGCAGTGTCTTGAAAAGCCCGACAAAGAATTACGTTAAAGTATATAATAAGCGTTATATACTCATAAATATAAATGTAAGATCTATACGTTACTGTTTCTTTCCAGTTTGTTTATGATTTACTAGCACCAAGTACGAAATCAATTCATGTTATTTGCTGTTACTTCTGTATCGATTAATTGCTGCGTGTTTTCTTGCTTGATTGTAGTGGTTGCGTGGAGGGCGGAGGCTTTACCACTACTGTTGGAGAAAAAACCCCATCGGAAAGACGCAATCTTTAGGCATGAAACAGTCGTGAACCGTTTTCATGTGGTTCTTCATCTTGTCCGGTCGCGAGAACTCTTTCTGACAAACCGGGCACGGGAAGACCTTTCTCTGGTGACCCTCGTGATACAAGAAAGCATGCCTTTGGAAGCTGTACTTGTTTTTGAACGTCTTCTGGACATCGACCTTTGCGCATTCCGTGCAATGATAGACGCCTTCGTTGATGGATGCGTAGCGGAACAGATTCAATCCGCGCACGGACATCTCCGTCAGCTGTTCCGCGGGATCTTGACATTGCGAGGTTGTCCGACGACGTGCTCTACGTCTTTGCTGCTTTCCAGCTGGCGCACTCATAGCACCAGGTACAGCCATAATCGCACTCGTCGAAGGCGTCGTCGGGGTGTTGTTATTATTTATGTTATCGGATGAATTAAACGGTGTGTTCATTTCCGCCGGTGGCATTTGCGTTTCGTTCAATTCCACCTTTGGTGTCAGCAGTGTGTGCGTTATTGGCGAATCTAAAAAAACGAAAAAGAAAAGAAAAACATATTAAAAACGAACCGTCAGAAAAATGTTAACATAAAAATAAAATAATAATAAATTACGCGAAAAATAAAGATTGCAATGATCGAAGCACTTCTTTATTCTACAAATAAGCAGTCTAAAGGTCGAATGAATCATCAACAAAGTGATAGTTCTTCAAAGATTCCAATCCATTTAGCTACTATATTTCGCATTCTACCAGAAATTAATAAAACATGTTTACGTTTGATTTCAAAATTGAAAAGTTAATAGAAGAAAAAAAAATAATAAAATCAACAACATAAAGAAACCATGCAAAATTTATTGGATAAAAATAAAATGTATTCTATATATTTTATAATAATAATAATAATAAGAAAATAAATAAAATTGCATTCAAAATAATAAATTATTTTTTTTGGCTAAAAAATAAAGAAATAAATTTTAATATTGTTATTTTTACCTTATGCAATCCTTTGGTTAGCATGTGAAATGAAAGAGACAATGTAAGGGGGCAAGAGTCAATTCGCTAATCAATTTTTATTACACCTCTACTAACATTGAACTTATTGCCATTAATTAAAAGAAAATCGTATTATATTGAAACAAAAAAAATATATAATAATACTCTTTCTCGTTTTCTATGTACAATAATTAGGAAACTATAAATATAAAAGACAAAATATAATCAATAACTAAATTCTATTCATTATTAACATTGGTATAAAGAGAAACTTACACATCAAGAAAATAATATCTATTATATAATCTACATATATATATATATATAATTTGTATGTAAATATTTTCTTCTCGCTAAATCAGACTTGACAAACTCTAACCAGGAGAGATTATATTTAGAAAACTTATGTTTAACGTTTGATTTACAATTGCCCGGCACTTATTAGAACTACCACATTCGAATAGTTCAATTACCTAATGTATATAAATAACAACCTAAATTTCTTTATGTTTGCAAAAATATAAACATTTTTCTTTTAGTATTTTAGAAAAATTATCATTCAATGAGAATTTTTCGTGCAGTCCATATAATTTATTTTCTTTGTTTATTATTGTAATTGCATACAATTGTACAATCAAATACAAAAATGTTCAATTTTGGCACATAGAAATTGTTATTCGCTATCAATTTCGCTATTTAGAATCAGTCTTAAATTACATAAAAAAGTAGACTAAAAGTAAAACTTACATATAGCTCACATTGGAGCAGTATATTTAAAGTCGTATAAAAATTAATTTAATAGAATTAGAATTAAACTAAACTTAATTAATGTTTTCTAAATATACATCTCCTAGTTTAATTGGAAGACCAATTAATGATATATTATTATTATTAAGGCAATTTCTTGTTTGTTTGTATTGTTTTGTGAGTAATTGACTGATATAATATTATACTTATAATAATATCAAAAAGAGAAAGAAAAAAGAAAGAAAGAAAGAAATAATAATGTGAAAAGGAATACATTAATTCAATAAATTTAAATCTATAAACTTAACATTCTAATTTCACAGTCACATAGAATCTATATAATATATAAAAATATTTGGATTATAACATCGCTTATCGCTTATAAATAGATAGAATCTATATTTGTTTAATATAATATAAAAAATATTAATGATTTACTTTCAATAATGAATATCTTTGGATATTATGAATTTGTTTGTATATGCGTTTTGTTTGTATATTCCCTCATAAGGCACTAGCTTTGTTGTTTGTGAATGATTTTCAGATGTGCGAGCATATTGTCTTTCCGTGTGAATTCTTTGCCGCAAACTGGACAGGAAAACATCTTTACGTCGACTTTATGGGATGTCATGTAGTGTCTACAGAAATTACTGATGTGTGTATACATGCGATCGCAAACCGTGCACCGGTACAGGTTGTCCTTTTCCCGCACACAGAAATCTCGCGCAGACTTGTCAGGATCGCAGACTTTGCGACCGGACTTCTCGAATTTACTGATTGCATTAAAACTGTAATTGGGATCATCTAAAATGATATCGAAATTGTCGTCATCGTAATCGTACGGATTCTGGCGCATCCTCTTAGGCGTTGTGGCATTGTCGTACATATTCTCGAGAAATTCTTTCGGATCCAACTTGATATCTAGCGCTTCAAAATTTGACTCCATCTCGTCGTGCTCATTCTCATCGTCCAATTCCGTATCGGAGACGGTCATTTCTTGGTAAGGCAGGTTATATTCCTCGTGAAGGGACGAATTGAAATCTATACACCGTACATTGTTCGGGGACGCTTTCCCTCGTTCAACATCTAGAAAAAGAAGTTAGGAATTGAATCTAATAAACTCACGTATATACATCACTCGAGGGAAAAGCTATAGGGAATAAGCCGCGTTGCTTTAATATCATTTTTTTTTATTGAGATTATTTGAATAAAAATAAAAGTAAAATGCAATAATTTACGGCTACAACTTTGGCTCATTCCTTACAGTTCTTCCCTATTATATTCATCAATTTGACTCACTCACCTTTTAGAAAATTTTAGAGGCACTGCGATTTACACTATCCACTATAGCTTTTCCCTTAACACTTCAAATTCTTAATAGAAAAATAAGATAACACTAAGAGTAAATAGCTACGCGAGAGTCTACAGTTCAACATGCTACGTATCTCACTCCGAGTATTTCCGATAAACTTCATGCTGAAAATATGGCATTACAATAATTTATGTGAATGCCTCGTTTCGTGTCGCACTTAATTTATATATATATACGAAGGGATAAAATTAGTAATTTACTCATGGATCCTCCCGGGAGTATCCAGTAATTATAGTGTGTGAGTTTATACCGTTCTATTTTAATTTGCAATTATTTTTTGTTTGTTTATTTTTAATTCTTAGTGTTTAAATAAAACTTACCGGAAGCTTGGAAATCATTTTCGTTTTTAACCACCACAGCATTGTTGAATGTTTCTTTGGATGTGCCTGCAACCGGTTCGCTGGTTTCCTGATTAGATTTGTCTTCCTCCTCGTCCTTTTCCTTGTTTCCGCTACTAGAGTCCGAGTTGTTTTCCGTGAATCCGTCCATTCCCATTTTAACTTCGAGCATTTCCGGGCTACCCTGCACCAAGCTGTCGCTCCTGTCAAAATCATCTGCTCCGGGAGTACCGTTCGAACTGCCCGACAACTTCCTGGGCCTACCTCGCTTCCTCTTCGGTTGCAGCAAAGCATGTCCCAACATATTCAAGGTATTATATTTCTGAGGCGGTTGCAGCCGCTGCAATTTGTACAGATTGGAATTTTGATTTTGGGCCAGAGACGATGTGATGGAATCGCATTTTTCCTCGTTGACCTCTGTGAGTCCTTTGATGCGAAGACTCTCGGCAACTCGGAGGAACGCCGTAAGCCTATCTTGATCCACAGACACTTCACCTCTGTACATAAAATCCAGAAGACACCGCATATCACTGTACGGGACGTCTTTTAATATAACTATGGGATGCTTATCCGGATGATTCACAAATAAGGCTTGGAAGTACGGACTGCAGGCGGACAAAACCATTTTATGGGCTTTCAGTAATTGACCCTCGACGGCCAACGTCACGTCCACGAAACTCTCGTCGTGCAGCAACTGGTCAAATACTGATAGCAAATTGGATTGATGGTTGTTCCATCGGAGACAGAATCGTTGGCAAGACATGTTGCTTGGTGCGGGTGCCGCAATATCCGGCTGCTGATTTTGTGACTGTAAACGTTGGTTTATGCTCATTTGTAATGAAATCCTCAATTAGGGACACTGCAACAATGAAAAATAATACATACATTATTAGACTGCAAAAGTATACATTTAAAAATAATAATTCAAAGCAGTTTCAATACTTTAAAATTATTTATTGGCATAGTATTATCTTTCAAATTATGTTTTTTTTAATAAGAATTAATGTAATGAACGCTTGGTGATTGGTTAAAGTATTTATTGAAATTTGCATGGTAGCAGCGTTGCCATAAGTATTTATGACTTGTTTGGGGTACGATGGTAATAGTATGCAATCGATTGGTGAAGTGCCGAGTCGAATCGATTTTGGTGTCGAAAAGCGCGCCAAAAGTCGAGTGTGCGATTAGCCGATTCAAATAAATGTGCTGAAAGTATCCCGGAAAGGATGTTTAAATAGTTGACGCACCGCATCAACCAAGGTCTTAATCGCACAGGTGTCTTGATGTTATGGCTATTACATCACTACAGTTCCAGGTACAGGACAAGAAAAAATAGAATGCGAAACGCGCACGTGGTCCGAGAACAAGTCACCCCTCGTCGTCTTGGAATGAGCATGACCCTTCCGCCATATTTAGTCTGCAGCCTGCGAGTTATCTTTACCCGAGAGCGTAAACACCCCGCCTACTTTGCCTGCTGCAGCGCATATCCGATGCGAGTTGAGGGTAGCAGCGTTTTGAGAAGTTCTGCATCTAGGAAATGCACGAAGGATTTGATATAACGTGAATACAGGCATGTTAAGTTTCGGATTTCTTCTGTGTGCTGCAGTGCAATACACTGCGAAGGGGGAAATCGATTTGCACGATGGAAATTCGCATGAAATGGTGCGTCGGGAAAGGGGGATTTTTCACAATCGTTCGCATGATTTTTGCGATGATCGAGTGTAGGAGCGAAGCAGGCTTCTGTCATTGCACAGGTGGATTGAGTACTGATTTTGGCATTTACCTGCAGCACAATGTCACTTGAGAAAGAGACCGGAGGAGGGTTGTATCCCCGAAAACAGGACGAATTTTACACCACAACACTGTTCAAGACGCCATGTCAGCAATCTGGCCCGCAGAGTGGCGCGGCATCGGCAGCGTTCGGGGTTGGTCGGGGTGACCGTCGACTCTCTTTTCGAAACCGCGAGAGCTGAGCTGCGAGTTTGAATCGCGACGTCGCCGTTTCGTTTAATTTTTTTCCCCGGCAACCCGACCCCGATGGACGAAAGGACGCCCGTCGCGCGCCTTCAACATTTACTCCGTTATTGCGCGACGACGACGACGCCGCCATTGCCGCCGCCCGATCTCATCTCGCTTCGCTAGGCTTGCCCTGCAACGGCGGAGATGCTGCTGCACCAGCAACATTCTATTGCAGCAACCTCTCCATCCGTTCGCTCGCCTCCTCCTCCTCCTCTTCCACTGATGTGGCTCCATGCATGCGTCACTCGTGCACACGCCTAGGTAGCAGGAATGCCTAGCCATCGCCTCCTGCAGGATCAACAGAACCAAACCAGGGGTGGTGACGTACGGTGCTGCGACGCGCCGTTCTGTGCTGTGGCAAGGCGCGACGGCGCTCGCGATTCTTCGTCCGCGCGGACCACGCGGAAAGTAAAAATAAAAGGAGAGAAAAAGAAAACAACATGTTTATGCGCGTTATGTAATTGATGAATATTTATAGAGGCGAATTAAATCAAGTGGTCGCTACTCTGCCTTGCTGCCTGCCTGCCTGCTGGCTTGCCGTTCCTACGGTTCGCCCGTTTTCCCATCATCATCGCATCGCCTTTCCTATTCTCTTTCTCTCTGTCTAACATTTTTCTATCCCAATCTCGTCGTCCTCCTTTTCTCGTTGCGCTCGGATTTAGCAGTGATGCAATTCCACCCTAATTACTCCACATCTAGTCCGATAATTTTAGAACATTATCTACTTGACTGTCCACTACAGATTAACAACCGTCAACTGCATGCATTGTTACCAATTAGTATAGTATACCAGCAACCACTAGCTCCTCTTCCATATTTTCATAAAAAAAAAAACTCAATAACTTCCAGACATACGACAATTTGAGAATTATATCAAAATAAAATTAAATTCTTACGCTTCATAAATTTACTTAATAAATACGATAATTACCGCTAAAATATTCTATAGCATCTATAGATTCAGCATCAATAATATAACAATTAAAAACTGGTAATTTTTATTTCGGATTTACTAGCCCGAGACTATCTGTGTGTGCCTACGTATAAATCCAACGCTGTTTCCACGCTCACCGAAACTTCACTTGAATCCACAGCCTTGTATGTCCAAATATTCAAAGGTCATCATTATAAATATGTACGAGTCACTGATGCACACCACTAATATGTTTCGTAAACTCTGACGGGTTCCACCCAAAAACTAAATACCCTAAAAGAGTATAATTTAGAAAGCGCAGCTCAATTTGAAATCACTTAAAAGTTAAATAATATAGCAAAGCTTTCATCAGCATAATTATACACAGTTTACGTTCAAATTTACAAACGAATTTATTATTAAAAGATCCATTTAATAATACAGATCTGTTTATATTAATAAAAAAAAATAATATTTACGTCTACTTCTAGTAATTATACTAAAAAAAAAAGTATTTATTACTGCAACTACTTTTATTCTATTAAAACATGTGCATTTTTACATAATATTGTTTAAAAAGCTATCATAAACCTAATCTTATATAGATCCAAAATAATAATAAACATATGTGACACTTTATGCATAAACTGAGTTGTGCCATATTTCGACATATAAAATTAGCCTTGAACTTAATTTCAGCATGCTATAAATAAAATTAGATATAACATAATAAATAATATACTGTGTACATACAAGGTTACGTCATTTCGTTTTAAACCCAACTACAAAATGAAATTGTAGTTTTGTCGTTGCATGATTTTATAATAAGAAATTACAAACCTGGATGAACAGGTCTTTCAGCCAAATCAATTACGTTATTAATTATGAGAATATCTTTATTGCTATTCGGTTATTACGCAGTGAAACAGTTTTGGTTCTTCGTAATTGTTGTTTCTTTTATGGTCAGTGTAATAATGCAAGACAACATCAAGGATCGCATAGGAATTGTTTCATAATAAAGGCGTTTCATTTAACGCAGAGAATAATCTTTCGGTGTGTTTATTTGTACGCCGTGGATAAAGTAATACGTTCCCAGCGCTACCAACAATAACACAGCTCCCGGGGCTAAATTAAATGCAAATTACAATTTTCGGAATTACATTCGGTTGCGTAACGAACGCGCGGCTTATTTGAATTTCAATTGCCGCAGTACGTAGATTACTGGAGGGTTGCTATATTATTCTAGGCACACGCGACGACCATCATATTCTTTCACTCGTTACGCAAAGAAAATACATGAATACTTTATTATATGTTTGTTTCCCTTTCTCGTTTTTTTTTTAAATATTTATTTCAATTGCATAACACCTGATAGATTTGATATCGCTTCTGATTTTATTGAAGAATGACCAACTAAAGTTGACGCTAAATTGAACGTATATAATCAATCAGTACTGCGATAATTCCTCATCCAGACTAAAGAAATAACATTGTTCTGTATAGGTTTATCTATATTAAAAATATATAAAAATGAGTCAGAAAGTGCGATAAATTTGTTTTCGTCCGACAAGAGTAAGGATGGAATACAGTATACACCCCCTAGTTTTGCGTTTTGCGTATGCTATTTCCAGAACGCCTCGTCCGACTTCCTGTTTTCATGTAACAACATTCGCTTTTCCAAATAATATTTTCTTTACAGCAGCACACACACACACATCCAATCGGTATACGCCCTTATATATACTTGTTATCGCGTTTCCTGCTGCAAGGACAACGTCATCAGTGTGTTGATAAGCAGCGATTTGATATACCGAAATCCTTCTGAAAACCACATACTTTCTTGGGTAGCGCGTTATAGAAAAAAATAAAATAAAACGAGCCATCGAATTTTGTATTTATTTTGCATCGTTATTTGAAGATACGCAGTTTAAGAAGTATCGAAAGTCACAGCGATAAGAGGGGACCTATTGATAAATTATCACTGAGAACATTTATTTATGGGAACGGCTTAAAATTATCCTTTTTTCGCTCTCTCTCTCGTGATACATATGCTCCTGATCGTAAGCAAACACCTCCTTATCGAACCTATGGGAATCCTCCATCGCCTTCACGTAATCACCATTCAATGCGAAGTCATTAACATTTCATTAATTGCAGCAATTAGGGAACAATGAATAAAAACTAAATCAAACCGCGTACAATGCATGTTAGTTTCTGTATGTACAACTTTGATATTTCTCAATATTTTTTTTTATCAACAAGATAAATGTACATGTGATTTCGCCGACTCTCCTTATCAAGTAAATAAAATACTTTCTTGCATAATGACAATTAAAGTTTGCAAATTTCATTCGAGAAAATAATATACATGCCCAAATAAAATTATGCAATTTCCTTCCTTGCTTCTTTTATTTCTCTCTTAAGCTGAAATTAGACTCCGCACCTGTCAAAAAAAACAACAAATAAGGCCTGTAGAATAATTATTTTCTGTTCTATGTTTCAAGGCGAACGTGAATTTCGATACACATTTCGCCTTTGTTCATACGCCTATTACCAGTGGACACCAATAACTATACTTCTTGGTTTCGACATTCAAAATAACAAAAAAATAATAATAGTCGTCTCGTAATATCTGATTATAATTGAAGAACAATGTGAAATGCACGCTACTATCTCTGTATAACCTAGAAAGTGTGGAAACAGACCAATAAACGATGATTCATTATCATGTTCCAAAGTTTCCTCACCACTCATTTTATTGTTATAATTCAAATATTAGATTCATTAGAAATATCAAACTTTGTTAGTAACATTGTCTACTTTCAACATAATCTACTATTTATTAATGTAAAAACTTGAAAAGATTAATTTAGAAAAAAAAATCAAAGACAAAATTACAATTACAAACATGACAATAAATAATCATTTATATTTAAACTAGACGAAGTACGTTTTGTTGTTTAATTTGTTGTATAAGTTAAAACTATGATTATCTCAAGAACATTGAAGAATATTTCACACGATTGACAGGAGTAATTCCTGCAAAACTATGTTCATTACATGAATCGAAGAATATGGTGTAAAAAGCATTTGTTTATTTATTTATATTCATTAAATGAAACAGAGAAATATCGTTTATCCGTTATACGAAATGTTGATATGACTCATGCGAATTACATTATTTCCGTCAACTTCGAACGCAGTCGAGTTCTGCAATTACATGAGAAAGAGAGAGAGAAAAAAAATATATGTTGCTGCACACAGGAAGAGTACTTGGTGCGCTCAAAACACTCCTACGACGTTCGGTATCCTGCAGTAACCGAAGGCCGTGAACAAATTCAAATTGAATCGAGGCGAGCCCCGAACGAGCTCCACCCTGAAAGATATTTTTACTATCCTAAGCTGAAAGGACGCGGCCCAGATTTAGGCCAGATGATCTGCAGTTACCGCATTTCAGAGTCGCGAGGGTTGTGAAACACTATAATGAAAATATACATTTCAAACAACCAACTAACATTTAATATTCTTAGCGTTTAAGTTTAGATATAATATAGCTATTTATATGATGTATGAGTAATTATTCCATTGTCAATTTTAATGATTATTATTTAAATGCGCATTGCAATTTCGATTAAAATAAATTCTAATTGCAACTGTTGTCGTGACACAAAAAGCTTTATATTTTAATACAAATAACTACGATGACAACAGCATCAATAGCTGCAATCAATTTAATTTTACGGAACTGCAGTTTAAATAGACTTTGAGTCACGGGTCAATTTTTAGCAAGTTTCGCATGTAGAAGCGTCACGTCTTCTAATGAAATACGTTTGGATTTAGAAAGAACAGAAAACATCCTAAAATAATCACCAAATAACTACATACTAATATGCGACAGTTCAAAGTGAATTGTAATTGCAAGGACTTATTCTAATTTAGTTTTAATAACGTTTACGTTATTCGAACTGCAACGAGTGAGTTATGACCCCTCTAATTTTGAGGATCGAAAAATATTTTTAAAAAAGAAGGAACAACGCACGATGTTGTGAATCGGTGTGAGCAATTTACGAAAGTGGTTTTCGTAATTTTAAGGCCATCGGTTTATTAAATTTCAAACGTTGCATTAATAATAATAATAATGCAAAAATGGTATTCGCAACGAAATTAGCGCATGGTAGCAACACGACCGTGCGATTAACTTCCAACCTGTAAACCACGCATACCCACACACACGCATACATTCGGAATGAGAAGGAGACATGGATTTAATGATGATATCATCGAAGTACATGAATTAAGCATTACATTTAAAAAGAAATAAACATGTTTAAATGATCGCAGATAAATTTGTATCATCCGAGGATTGCGATTGTTTAATTGAAAGTGGTTAATTTGTATGTCATTTCTATCGGTTTGAAAACTGTTGGACTTGATTAATCGTGTCCATGGACCCGAAGGATACATCTATAGAAGATTGTTAATAAATAACCCATGGTTCGGA